CCCTTGTTGCACCTGCAAGAATCAAACTTAGCCCTGTGCCACATCATTGCACTTTGGGTACGCATGGACTGTGTTGCCTGCCATGCTGGTAAGACCTTTTTAGGAGCACTGTTGTGTGATCTGTACTCCTCTATTCCACTAGTATGAACTTGATTTTAGCTGTATGAAAATGCTCAGATGAATGATTTAATTTTTATATATACCTTCTTTTAATTTAATTGGAATATTGTGCAAGGCCTTCCAGAAAGCTGGATTTTCGTCAGCCCATGAGTTAATTCATTCTGTGCAGCAAGAAGTGTGCGGGAAGTGTTACCTGCTAGACATGTCGAAAATATTTGGGTTCTGTACTAGCCTGCACCATCTGCAGTTGTCAACTTTCCGTTTTGGCTGTAAACCTAAAATCAGACATCCCAAAGAATAAAGAATCATCAGTGGCCTTTCCAACTGATAAAGTTTTGGAAGAAAATTTCTCTTTATCCTCTTTCAGCGGTAGCGTATTGTTTACTGAAGTTTATGTACAGAACGTACAAACAGGAAGATCTCCTTCCTGAAAAATACTTCATGAGCAGTGCTAAAACAGAGAGGACATGAAGTATAAAATCTGAAGTGACTTAAGAAATGTTTCCAGATGGCAATCTTTATTTTTTTTCTTTTTTTTTAAAGGCACAGGGCAGGGAGGAAAAAGAAAAGTTAAGGCAGTGCTGTGAGGGGGCTATTACTTTATTTACCTAGAGAACTGTTCCTGTTCCTCACTTCCTATGTTAGTGAGGGATTTGATCTTGAAACTAGATCTGTTAGGGTAAATACAAAGCTCAGCAGCAGGTAGCAGCAAATGTCCTAAGGACAGCATTTTAACATGAGAAGTGGAAAAAAATTCTTCAAGTCATATTGTGGTGGTTGATGTGGTCAGAATCCTTAGGTGAGGGAAATGGCTGTCCAAAAAAGGATTGAGTCTGTACTCGTGAGGAGATCAACCTGTGATGAGATTTTGCCATGTGGGTATATTCATATACTCCCATCTTAGCAAACAGAAGTTATTGTTAGCAGTGTGATTTTAAGTGTCAGCCAGAAGGGATGTTGCAGTTTCTTCAATCACAACTCATTACTTTTGGGATTATAATGCAGTGAAGTTCTGGGAAAATTTAGAAGTTAGCTTGTTGCATATAGCTGTTCTGGCTTCGTTAGTTACCTGCTTTTCATTCATTTCTTTTTAGACAAAGAGAGTCTGATCACTGACAGTGGAAAACTTCATGCTCTTGATCTTCTGTTGACACGGCTGAAATCTCAAGGACACAGAGTTCTCATCTATTCCCAGATGACACGGATGATTGACTTACTGGAGGTAGGAGATTTGTAGCCTACAGAAGACCATTTCTGAAGATGCAAATTTAGTAACAGTGTATTGGAGAAAATACTATCATTTGGATGCGGGAAACCTGACATAAAATTATACTGAAAGATATTCAGTAAATGCATTAATATGAGAAGATAAGAGATGCTATACAAAGACCTAAGGTCCAGCCTAGTGTTATGCTTCCAGCAGTGTACAACAGTAGATGCTATGGGGAAAATGTACAAGAATAGTGATACTTGACAATTAGTCTCCAAGTGTCCAGCAGTTTGCAGCTCAAGGGCTTTCAGAGCCAGATGTGCCTTCTGTATGTTCAGTAATCCTAAATGGAATCTTCTTCCATGAAATCGTTTGGTTGCATCTTGAGTCTGTGTAAGCTTTTGTCATTTGCACAGCCCTGTGGTGAGGGGTTGCATGGCTTAATTATTCTCTTTTTCTGGTTTCAAATGGCTTCCTTCTGTTTTCATTTGATGTCCGTGTGCCCTTTGATTGGAAGGAAGAGGGAGAACATTCATTAATTTTACATTGTTTATGTTGCTTGTAATTTCACAGACTTTTACTGTTTCCCTCTGTCATCTTAATCCTGTGCAAAAATTTGGTAGACATTAATAAGAAGTTCTCTGGCATATACAATAGGAAGGAAATTAGGAATTAAGTCATTACTTGTTATTTAAATACAGTCAGTCTGCCTCAGAAGGGGAAAAAGTATTAGTATTTGATTAGCAACCATACCAACAAAAGGCTAGTCTGAAGAGACATTTGTAGGAGAGTTATTAATTCAGTTTCTTACTGGTAATACTTATAATGCTTAGCAAGAAATACCTTTATTTCTCTGGGCTTCTGTGCAAGGCAGCAAAGTTTTGAGTTTTTGGCTGGATCTGAAAAAGAACTCAGTCATTTCTGTTAGCATTCCATTTAAAGGCTTGGAAGCACACCATTTTGCTAACCCACCTCCTAAATGCTCAACTTTATTTGTTGGATAAGCCACCTAGCAAGTTTTTCTTTCTCCCCACCCATGTAACAGAAGTGGAGTTAAGCAAGCTAAAAATCAAGTAAGGACTCAGTTTGTAAGAAAATCCTTCCAAAAGTTATGTAGCAGTAGATATTTATTAGATACATGACCTGAGAGATCAAAATACATCCCCTCTGCCTACTTGAATATGAAAGGACAGAATATGTCCTATTTCTTTTAACTGTGTCAGTGTAACTGCTATGGTATCATACTAATCTAATCTACGCAGGGCAGAGATCACAAAACCTTGTTTACAAAGTTATAAAACCATCTTTCTTTGATTTACCTTCAGCTGAAAAGCTGCTGCTTATTTCATCCATGGCACATATAAATACAAAGAGGAAAATTACTTTCAACAGAAAGGGAATAAGTAGTGTTATTCCATGCAGATGTGTATTTCATACTTTTTAAGCTTATGTTTGGTTTTTCTCAATGTGTTCGCTTTCTGCTGTATGAAATTGTCCATAATTTCAGTGTGAATCACATTGTGTTCATGTGATGAAGGATCAAATCATGTTCTGCATGAATATTTGATGTTGATGATATTTAGGGATTTTTTTTTTTGTAGTTAGCAATTCTGGTTTTATTGAGTAGTTTCAGGAACAACTGTATTTTTCTGGTATGTGTTCTTCACAGGAATACATGGTTTATAGGAAACATACCTACATGAGATTGGATGGTTCTTCAAAGATTTCGGAACGAAGGGACATGGTAGCAGATTTTCAGAACAGGTAATGTATTTTACAAGGTGTTTCTGTGCTAAATTGTGTGTACATAGAGAGCTAGTATGAGATGTAATGGAAATAAATGAAATTTGCGCTTGAATTATCTTTCCTGATATCAAGCAGACCTCTTACGTGAAGCGGTTTCTAGGAGTCAGTGGTGTTGCTATTTAAGAGTTTGTCATCAGTGAAACAATATTGGAAACAATTTTAGTGTATCCACCTACTGTGCTTCTTGCCATTCCAAATATGCTATTGCTTATAAAGAAGCTCAGTAGAAAGGCAGCAAATGTTCTTTGGTTATTATATACCCTGCCAGTTGTAAAGATGAGATTGAAAATCTTGCATATGCTAGAGCTTTGAAAATGACCTAGTTTTCTGCAAAACAAACCATTTAAGCATGTTTTACTAAGAAACCTTAAACTAATACACAAGTGATAAAATGGAGATTTCATTAGATAGTTAGAGATATACTATAAACCTTTTCATTTAGTAAACCAAAATGGATTCTTACAATTTTTATGAGCACATCAAGAAAGAAAATATATAATCGTCTTATTAGAAGCTAATATATTTTAGTATAACTTTGTCTCCATTAGGGCACATTATATGTTATGATTGAGTTTATGGTTATTAAGTTTTCATTTAATCATGGGATGTGGCTTGATAGGATGTCACTTTGGTATGGTAGTTCACAGTAAGGTTATCCTCCCTGGATGTTGATGTGAGCTTCCCAGAACATCAGTTCTCTTTTTCAGTGGAATTAGGTTCACAGATAGTTGGTTGTTGCAGGCTTAAGGCAAAATTTTAGGTTAGAGAATAGTCCTTATGTTAGTGGTCCCAAGGTATCATAGCTGAAGATAGGAGGGAAGCTATATATAGCCTTTCAGGCTTAAAGATCTGAAGGGCTGTGTTAACAGTGATGAATCTTCTAGTGAACTCCTCAGAGCAATAAAACTTGGAAGGAATGTGTGCCAAATACCTGAAGCGAGAGGACCGTGCAGTATTTTTCTGCCTGTTACCAGATGTCAGAAACGGGTTCCTCCTGGAATCTTGACACTTCTTCCTGTAAAGGTCCTTTAACCGAAAGAAGTGAATAAACTTGTTTTTATTAATGAACAGAATGTGTTTTTATTAATGAGTAGAACAAACGAAGAAAAATAATCATTTCAGCAG